ACTAAGAGAATGACATGAAAGTTATGTTAACCAGTTTGATGAGAGTATTTCAAAATGTATATGAAAACAGCACACTGTACCCCATGATTGCATTAATGCACATAGTTATGCTATAAGAAATTAAAAAAAAGGAAAAAAAAAACCCAGAAATTGTACAAAGATGACAAAGTATACCTGACAATGTGAGTGTAGAAGGTTTCTCACTCTAGACAACAATTGTATTAAGTCTAAGTAGAAGTCACTTTTAAAGGTGACGCTTGCTTATAACTCCCTTTTTCTTTTGTTCTCATAAAAAGCAACCTGATCATTTTAAAATTATTTTTATGTTGACACATTGAAGAAACAGGGTGATTAAACTTTAAATCAAGTTTCATAATGACCTTATCTCAGAGATGAGTAAAAAGAAGAAATTAAAAAAACAAACAAACACAGGAACCATTTCATTTTAAGGGTAAAATCTTCTGAGACAGCACATTTATTGAGGAACTTCTCTGTTACCTGGTAATGGGCTGGATGTTAAGTTTCTTATCTCAATGTTGTAAGAGAAAAAGGCACATTAGTTCACTGAACTCTGAGATACGCCAAGAATTAAAAGTTCTAGACAGTAACCATGTTTTCCTGGCTTCATTTACCCTCTGAGAGCCATTCATACCACCATTATTTAGCTGAGATGGTGGCTTTGCCTGATGAATGGCTCTGGGCTGCTAGATCATTCTAGGCATTGGGCAGACAGCAGTAGACATGAGGGCCACTTTTTCTGTTACCTCTAGTGCAGGAGACAGATGATAAACATGCAGATAGATAAATACTTGGAGATGTGCCACAAAGAAGCTAAAGCAGGCCAACATGAAGGAGCAGGGTTGGGGTGAGTAAAGGTCGAGGACAACTGTTTTGGCTCAAGTGCCCTCCCTGTAGAGAGATGTGTAAGCAGAAGGGACTGTCCATGAGAGGACCTGGAAGAAAGGGTTTCTAGGCTGAGGATCAGCAAAGAATGAGCTTGGCAAGTCTGAAGAACAGACTGATCTGGTGGGGGAGCAGGAGGGATGAGTCTGCTGAGGGAAGGGCTGGTTCAGCTGACTTAATGCCATGGCAAGCAGCAGCACAGGAGGACACATCTCCTTGGAACAGACCATCATGTCACATGATTCACATCAGGCTTCTCAAAATTTCTCACACTGCGTGAGTCATCTTAGTTAATCCTTTATAGACACACATGGATAGGACATTGCTGCCATGTCCTCATGTTTCATGTTCTAGGTTATTCTCATGGAATAGATTTAGACATAAGGCTTAATTGCCCAAATACACACAAGCATGAGAGTGACAAAGCTGGAACTGGAGCACAGGGAGGCTGCTTGGAGGGCAGGTCCTTGACCCCTGGTGCAGATGACTCCAGAATGCTGCTCATGGATTCCTTACTGGATACTTACCTTTCTGTTCAAGGAAAAAAAAAATCTTTGACAAAAGAGAGAAAGGAAAGAAATCAGAGGCATTTTCATGAATAGCATAATTAAGAACTTTAGGGTGGTGCCTGTGGCTCAAAAGAGTAGGGCGCTGGCCCCATATACCAGAGGTGGCGGGTTCAAACCCAGCCCCGGTCAAAAACTGAAAAATAAAAAAGAACTTTAAAAAGACCAGGAATCACTTTATCCAGTAGCTAATGACTGTTAAAAAGAACAACTCCAAAACACTAAAGAAGTTGAACAGAACACAGATGGAAAGACATGACATCTTATGGATCAAAAGAATCAATGTTGGTGAGTGACCATTTTGCCCAAGTGATCTACATATTCAATGCAATCCCTATCAAAATGCCGATGATGGTCTTCATAGAAATAGAGAAAACAATCTAAAATTTGTTTGGAACCACAAAAGACATTGAATAGACAAAGCAATCCTGAGCAAAAAGAACAAAACTGGAGGTGTCACACTACCTG